GGTGTTAAGTCCATTTATTGGAGAAAGAAATTTCTATTTAATAAATATAATTCAGTAACCAAATTCTTTATGTAAACGATTGAAACTAACTGCTCCTCACAGCACATACAACCATTAATTTAAAATTTATCTAGGATAGAAATGTATGAACAAAAACCTTAAACATTTAGAAGACAATGCAGGAATATTGCTTAATAACTTAATTTTTAACAGTATTTTCCCAGATACAGTAACAGATATAATACCAAGAATACAAACTACAGAGGATAGATATTTTATCTACATTATCTACACAGAGCTTTTGTCTACATTAACGTTTTTTGCACATCACAAATCTTTGTCAGTAAATTTAGAGATCTCCTGGAAATTGGACCTTTCCATCACCTGAGTCTTCAATGTACTAGGGTCCCTTAGCATCCAGACAGTCAGTCAGAATGGAGAGTTATTGTGGAGAATGAGGCGGAGCTTGAGCTGGCTGAATTCTGAGGTTAATTATTCCCATTCCTTTCATTGATCAGCAGTCAGCCTTAGTTGTTGTTGATTACTTTCAACTAACTTTAACTCCTGGCAGCATTACTTATCTGACAATTCTGATAATTGATTTGAGCCCTCTGTTGATGTTGTTATGAGGTGACCGTCCAACCTAGGGACCTCATTTTCCAGAAATATTGCAGACAATGATCTGTTGTGACCTATTCATTCTCATTGGTTAATGGTCACAAGCAGATCCCTAGTCCTTTCTTACTAGTTGATCTTAATGTGGAAGTGCTACTGAAAACCTGCCAACCATGACTGAGTGCTAGTGTGTGACTTCCCAGTGTTAGAATATCTGTTAATTATGTCAACCTGGAAGATGCCATGATACAACACACTCACATATAAATGGTAGAAGATCCAGTCATCTGACTTCATTATAATCAATAAGAAGGCTAGGAAATGTCTGTTTGTGACACATTCTAAGTATAAGGAAAGGAGATTATGACATTTCAAATAAGCTTAGAAACAACCTGAGTGTTCATTTTTCCAGAGATGTATGTTCCATCTCCTGAACTTGACCATATACTTCATAAGGGCAACTTCGTGTTTTGACTTGTTTTGTGCTATTTTCCCATTTTAGGAAGGAGTTTTGCACATACTAACCACTCAAAAGAATCTTTATTAAATGAAAAATTAATGCAGCCTTTTATTCTTATTTCTTGCCTTCCATTTGTCTAAGATGTGATCATTGACACTAGAACCAAAACAACAAAAAGCCATCATTCAATACAACCAAAATCAGCTGGCATAAATCTGAAGTGTAGTTGAACGCTAGCCGCTTGAGATCACCCTTTTTATACTTTTCATGGGTTTTTATTTGAGCCTTTTTGGTCATGTGCTGACATCAAGCTGCTGCAGATGTGAAGTGGCCCAATGTCTTCTAACCATTAAATGTAACATGGGGATATTTAACTTGATGTAAAATTGAGACAGTCTAAAATTGTTATTAGAATTTTGGTTATTGAATTTCTTAGTTTTCTTAATGGTAAGCTTTTGGGCCTGAATACTGAATTTTACTGAGCAAAGCATTACATTGTTTTTATATATTTTCAGAGAGTTTAATGGATTATTTAAAATTTTTTCTTGATCTCCATTATAAAGTAACTTGGCTATTTTCTAAATTGTTTTTCTTTTATAGGAAGAAGAAAAAAAAAAACAGAGAGAAACCCCTAGAACACATATGCTGTCATTTTCACAAGATCACCAATTTAAGGGCTGCTAATCGATATCCTGCTCATTCCACTTAGACTGCACTAAAACATAGAAAGCATTAATGAGCACAAATATATAGTCCATTGTAGGCACCAAAGTCAGAGGTTAATATCTTAATTGCTAGCAAAAACATTGGAAGTTCAGACCAACCAAGAGGCTCTTTGAAAGACAGAATTTTCTATCAGTTTCTGAAAGATTACAACCCTTCCAGAATAGTTCTACTGTGCACACATGGAATAATGAATCAGATATGACTTCACTCCAAATTATAACTATATGTATATGTATTCATGTGTATGTAAATGTACATAGTTGCTATATATTGTACATATCATATATATGTAAATAGTGGTATATATAGATATAAGGCCTCCTGACCCAAAACTTCATAATAGCAACTTTTTCATCAAAATGAACAGTCAGATATTTTTAACTTCATGCTTCTGCATTGTGGATCATGTTTTCTCAATATAATTACTCTTTAAAAGCATAGAGACAAAGCTTATAAATGACTTCTTGGTAGATATGAACCTTACTGCAGAATTTTCTAACAGAGGAGAACAAGCCAAAATAGTAAGGGAAAGTATCCCTCTATATGGAGAAAGGTTTAGTTCCAAAGTGTGGTTATCAAAAGTGCCACACACATTTCCCAACTTGTGAGATACAGAAATATTTCTCCCAAGTTGTCTCCCCCAAATATATGCCAAACCCAAGACGCTGCTTGCTACACATGCTAAATGACTGCACACTGGGAGGTCACTGAAAGTAGGTCAGAGGTTATTCTCCTTAAGGGTATCTAGAGCAACCAGACTGTACAATCTGACTCACCCGAAGCAGGGCCCACTCCCTTCTGATATTGTTCCCTTGAAGGAGAGCCCAAAGGCAAGCCCGGGATCACTCAAGGATGACTAAGGTTAGGCTACTATATGGAGTCTAGGGTCTGCCTATCTTGCCACATATGTACCCCTATTCCCTACCTTTACTATTGCATGTACACCCCTAGGTAATCTTCCTCCTGTTGCTTGTATTGCCTGTGTTACAACCCCTTCCCACAACATAAGCCATTATCTTTATTCAGAGGGCTTGCATGCCCCCAAAGATATGTAAGTTTTGGTTAGAAATAAAATCTCATGACAGCTCTCTCCTGCCGTCTTGTCTCCTACCTCCACGTGTACCGCCAAGAGGAGCTGAGGTGAGCATGCTACCATGAAATGTGTCTGACTTATTATGTCAATTTAGGCTCCCAGCTCTCAGAGAATCTAGAGAGCTTTGTATATCATAACCATATGATTGCACCTACCAAAACTTTAATTAGTTGTGCAGGGCTGGCTTCCCCCACACTAACTCTATTGCTGAAGATCCACAATATTTGAGCAGCAGTCTTTAAGGGCATTTGCTTCAAAGAGTGGCTTCCCAAGATAAGTCAGGCAGATTAAACCAATTCCCTTTAGAAGCAGGTTTACCCTTCTTGATGAAAACAGTTATTCATAAAATTTATGAGAGGTTAAGTGAATGGCGGTCACTGAGTGTATTGCAGTGACCTGCAAACAACACCCCAGAGACATGTTTGGGAACAAAAGAAGGAAGAGGACATGGGAGGTTGAAGTTCATTCCTTAATGGGACGTCAATAAATTCAGAGCTCACCTATCAGATTACCAGTATAGGTCTTTAGCACATGCCTAAAGTTAAACTGTTAGTAAGTTAAAATACCTCTCATTTAATCACTAGGTTTTCCCTCTTGAATATGACTGAGTTCATTAGTAGTTGATTCAAACAGCAGTATTGGGGCAGATTGGTATTGAAACAAGCTAAACTGGGAGATTCACAATAGCTATAGGGATGTCCTAAGGCAGCAGTTCTCAATCTGTGGGTTGTGACCCCTTTGGGGGTCAAACGACCCTTTCACAGGGGTCGGTCAATTCATAACAGTATCAAAATTACAGTTATGAAGTAGCAACAAAAATAATTTTATGGTTGGGGGACATCAAAACATGAGGAACTGTAGAAAAGGGTCGAGGCATTAGGAAGGTTGAGAACCATTGTAAGGGATGATGTTCCTGCTGCACTGAAAGCATTAACCCAAAACAAGACTCCAGGAATTACTGAAATGCCAATTAAAATGTTTCAGCAAGCTGATGAAGCACTGGAAGCATTCACTCATCAATGCCAGGAAACCAAGAAGACAGCTACTTGGCCAACTGACTAGAAAAGATTCATATTTGTACCCATTCAAAAGAAATGTGACCCAAAAGAATGCTCAAACTATACAACAATATCATTTATATAATATACCAATAAGATTTTTCTGAAAATCTTCCAACAATAGTTGCAGCAGTAGAATGGGAGAGATCTGCCAGAGATTCAGGCTGGATGCACAGTGGGTGTGGAACCAGTGATATTATTGCTGATGTCAGATGGATCTTGGCTGAAATCAGAGACTATCAGACAGGTGTTTAATTGTGTACCACTGACTATGCCAAGGCATCTAATTGTGTGGATCATAATCACTCTGGACAACCTTGAGGAGAATGGGAATTGCAGAACACTTCATTGCACTCCTGAAGGAACTGAACATGCATATAGTAGTTGTGAGAATGGAAGAAGGGAAAACCGCAAGGATTCAAATCGGAAAAGATGTGTAATGTCATATCCTCACACCCTACTGATTGCATCTGTATGCTGAGCATGTCATCAGAGAAGCTGGCCTATTTGACAACGAATGTGGTACCAGGAATGGAGGAAGGCTTATTAATGACCTGTGGAATACAAATGATGTAACTTTGCTTGCGGAACACAAGGAAGAGTAGGAGCAGTTGCTGATGAAGATCAAGGAGTGCAGTCTTCAGTATGGATTGGAACTCAATGTAAAGACCAAAATCTTCACAATTGGACCAATATTCAACATCAAGATAAATGTAGAAAAGGTTGAAGCTGTCAAGAATGTTGTCTTGCTTGGATACACAATCAATGCTCAATCAATGCACAATCAATGTAAGCAGCAGTCAAGAGATCAAAAGATGTGTTATGTTAGGCAAATCAGTTCCACGAGACCTCTATAGAGTATTGAAAAGCAAGGATGTTACTTAGAGAGCTAAGGAGGGCCTGGCCCAAGTCATGGTATTTTCAATTGTCCCATATGTATATGGAATTAGACATTAAATAAAGAAGATTGAAGAAGAATTGAGGCATAGGGATTGTGGTGTTGGCAAAGAATATTCAAAGTACCATGGACTGCAAAAAGGACAAAGCAATTGTTTCTCGGCCTTTTGGCCAAGATCAAGTGAAGTATCTGTTCTTATCCGTTATTATCTGATATGTCCTCTCTCTGAGGACAATACATTCAATGGATTTTTGGAGCAGGGAAATGGAATAGGAGCTTACTCTGTCCACTCCACACATCGACCTGGTATTGCAACACCTCAAGAAATGGTGCACCCCCTTCAGGGGATACTGGAAAAAACAAAACAATATGACTGAGAAGCATGGTCAGAGTGCTCCTTAGAGGCAAGGGTGGTAAGACTTTGTCTCACACATTTTGGATATGTCATCAGGAGAAGGCAGTCCCTGGAGAAAAGCATCACATGGTAAACTGGAGGGACAGAGACGGCGAGGAAGTCTCTCAATGATGAGTATCATCATGGCTGCAAGAATGGTCTCAGGCATAGGAACAATGAAGGGGATGGCATAGAACCAGGCAGTGCTTACTTCTTTTGTGCACAGTGTCACTGTGGTTTGGAGCCAACTAGATGGCAGCTAACAACAACCCAAGGGATGATGCAGCTGGAAAGCAAATGACAGCTTTTAATTTGGTGGCAATACTTCCTTGAATTCATATATGCTGTTCTATACGCATAACATATAAATTTAAAAGATAACATATACATTTAAAAGAGAGAACCCTTAAAATGATAACTAAGAAACAGAATAAAATAAATATATAACACATAATCTTGTGAAAATAAGGTTTTCATGAGAATTATAATATTGTAACCAAGTAAGTCTTTTCTTTCTTTTTTTTTTTTTTAGACCCCCCCCCCGTAAGTCTTTTCTAAATAAGAACTTTTACTTAATTTATTGTATAATCAGAATAGTTACAGAAAGATATCCACAAGGAGTTCCAGAAATTCTAGCCATAGATTAGAAGAAGACTTGGAATAACAGATATCTTTCCTGATATCAGATGAATTTTGTTGGAAAGCTGATGATACTAGAAATAATTTTACTGGTAATTTTTTTGAACATACACCAATATTCAATTGTCTGAATCATAACAAACTATAGCCTAAACATGTGCTCTTGTTCAAACAGAACAATGGGATACTGAATGATTTATAATCAGAGAAAGTATGTATCAGGTTAGAATCCTTTCATCATACTTACTCAATTTGTATGCTCATCAAATAATCTGAGATTCTGAAGACTATGCCAAAGAATTCAGCACCAAGTTTAAAGAAAGGATCATTAATAACATACAGTATGCATATGAAAAAATCTTTATTCTTGAAACAGAAGAGACCTTCTAGCATTTACTTATCTAATCCAATGACTAGAGCCCTCAGTGTGGATTAAAGTTCATACTTCACATTTCAACTAAACTTCTACTTTAAGAAAGCAAAACCTTCTGTATTAGAACAACAAGCACCATCATTATAGATGAAGAAAACATTGAAGTTGTCGAAGACCTCATATTGCTTAGATCCATAATCCACATTCATGGAAGTAGTAATCAAGAAATCAAATAACATATTATATTGGACAAATCTGATGCAAAATACCTCTGTAACATGGTAAAGAACAAAGACGGAGCTTTGAGGAGTGAGGTGTGCCTAATACAGACGATGGTATTTTCAGTTTTCTCAGATACACATGAAAGCTGGATAGCAAATAAGGGGAAAAAAGACATCATCATTGATGCATCTGAATTATGATGTTGTTAAAGATTATGGACTAGACCATGAATTTCAAGAAGAACAAATCAATCTTGGAAGAAATAGAGTCAGAATGGTCCATAGAGGTAAGGATAATTAGACTCCATGGCATGTACCTGGGAAAATTGATCAGTGTGCTAGACCAGGTTAGACCAGAGAAACTAATTCATGGACACTCATATGTGTATAAGAAAGAGCTTTATATACAAGAGTAATTGAATATTGAGAAAACATCCCAAGCCAGTTCAGATCAAGTCCATAAGTCCAATATTAGCCCATCTGTCCAATACCAATCTATTAAATCCTCTTCAGACTCACAAAACACATGCAATGACACCGAATTCAGGAAGATCACAGGCCAGTAGATGGAAGTCTTATGGATCCAGTGGCGATGTAAGCATTTCAACACTGACAGGGGGTTTCCACGTGGCTCCTTCAGCTCCCAGGGCACAGGCTATATCGATGTAGCAACATGAGTCTTGTCCATAGAATATCTCTCAGGGAGTGAGCAGAGAGAGTCTCCTGCCTCCAAGGAGGAATACAGGAATTCCCAGAATCCTCAGGAGATGGTCATGCCCCCAAAAAGGCCTCATTGCCTATGACCTGATGGATAGGCTGGACTCCACCCCTTCACTCTTAATCCTCTCAAATTGACAAATGATTATATAACTACCACAATCTGAAATGACTAGTCTTTGGAAAAGAACATCAGACTATGTAAAGCATAGAGTTAAAAAGAGAGAGAAAGACCTCGATTGACATAGATTGAAACAGTGGTAGCAGAAGGATATTGGGCCTCCACTCAAGTACTCCCTCAATGCAAGAATACTTTCTTCTATTAAA